TCACCTTACAGTATCCTTATCTTGCCCCCATTTCTGATAAGTGAAATAATTTATCATTTTCCTGAGAACTGGGATAAAAATGTATGTATATTAACAAGCCACAGAATTCTCTCTTTCATTTTAGAACACTGAGATCTTAAGTCCCTAGCTTTCAACATTTCATTTGGCAATGGAACTTTAGATGTCCTGCACAAATGCAAGGCAAAACATTCATTTCCACAGGCAGTTAGAAACGAACAGCTGGTGCTGGCAGATGTTGCCCATGATTAAATTCAAAAGGAATCTGACACATAAAAAGCTGGAGCATCATAGCTGGGGGACAATGATTTCTCTTCCTCCCCTCCCCCACTTAATATGTGTCATTTTTTTGCAGCCCACTTGGCTGGAAACCAACTTTTATATAACTCAGTTATGGGCTTCTGATTCAATTAAACATTGTAAAATCTATATTTAAAGAAGAATTTAATTAGTGAAGCTTAGCAAAGATTTGAAATGAGTCCTTTGAACACCTAGAACGTTTCAACAGGCTCACAACCCTGTCATTTCAGGCTCTTGTTTAGTTTAGAAGCTATGGGTGTGTTGCGAGGTCGGAGCTGTCGCTTTTCTATGTTTGCTGCTGCTGACGTATGCTGGTTAGCCTGTAACTCTGTGTCCTGATTGGAGGACAGCAGTTTTTCTTCCTGCTTCCACATCCTGGCTGTTTGGCTACATGTTTTGCTCTGTCCTACTGTCCCTTGCTGGATAATAATAGAGAACCTGAGAAAGCTAGGCCTGTAACATGTAGTCAAACAGCCAGGATATATATATATACACACAAATATATATGTGTGTGTGTGTGTGTGTGTGTGTGTGTGTGTGTCTTAAGTTTTTGCGGGTGTGCATATGCAAAAAATTAAAATCTCGGGTGTTTTCCCGCGTCATTGTAAATAAATTGGTTAAAATGTTTAAAATTCTGGTTAAAATCCCAGCTTAAAATCTTCTAAAATCTTTTAGAAGATTTTAAGGTGGGATTTTAACCAGAATTTTAAACATTTTAACCAACTTTTTTTTTTTTTAAATTTGATTTATATGCCGCCCTTCTCTGGAGACTCAGGGTGGCTTACAGTGCGTTAAGTAATAGCCTTCATACTTTTGTATATTTTATACAAAGTCAGCTTATTGCCCCCACAAACTGGGTCCTCAATTTACCTACCTTAGAAAGGATGGAAGGCTGAGTCAACCTTGAGCCTGGCAAGATTCGAACTTACTTTAATTACAGACAGCTGGTGTTAAATTACAGTGCTTTTGTCTGCAGAGCTATCCAGGCTTTCTGGATAACTTATTTGTCTGTAACTTATTTACAATGACGCGGGAAAACACCCGAGATTTTAATTTTTTGCATATATATATGTATATGTATATGTATATGTATATGTATATGTATAAAATTTAAATCTCGGGTGTTTTCCCACATCATTGTAAATAAATTGGTTAAAATGTTTAAAATTCTGGTTAAAATCCCAGCTTAAAATCTTCTAAAATCTTTTAGAAGATTTTAAGGTGGGATTTTAACCAGAATTTTAAACATTTTAACCAACTTTTTTTTTTTTAATTTGATTTCTATGCCGCCCTTCTCTGGAGACTCAGGGTGGCTTACAGTGCGTTAAGTAATAACCTTCATACTTTTGTATATTTTATACAAAATCAGCTTATTGCCCCCACAAACTGGGTCCTCAATTTACTTACCTTAGAAAGGATGGAAGGCTGAGTCAACCTTGAGCCTGGCAAGATTCGAACTTACTTTAATTGCAGACAGCTGGTGTTAAATTACAGTGCTTTTGTCTGCAGAGCTATCCAGGCTCTCTGGATAACTTATTTGTAATTTTTTGCATATATATATATATGTATATGTATATGTATATGTATATGTATATGTATATGTATATGTATATGTATATGTAGGTCTTTGGTTATTCGGGTTTTCTCCCGCGTAAAATTGGAAGTGTCTTGGCGATGTTTCAATGAAGTCTCATTCATCATCTTCAGGCTGGTGTTTTCGGCTTCGTGCTTCTAGGAGCAATGTGTGATCGCAGCTGTTTCTTCCTTTTAACTGCCAGTGGGGGTGTGAACTGATTGCGTGGGAGCTTGGCTGTGTTCTGATTGGGTGGAGGTGTGTTCTGATTGGTTGGGGGTTTGGCTGTGCTCTGATTGGATGGGGGGTTGGCTGTGCTCTGATTGGATGGGGGTGTGTTCTGTTTAAGTGGGGGCTTGGTTGTGCTCGGGTTAGTCTGAGTTGCAGGGAGATGTGAGCTGGTGAGCTGCGTTGCTGTTGTTTGGCTTCGCGTTTGTGGTCGTGCCACATCTTTATGGTGGGTGTCAGTTTGCTTCATGTATGGATTGGAGGGATTTAAAGTTGCTAATGATGCAGCTGTGGTCTGGCTTCTGGTTTGTGGTCATGCCTCATCGGTGTGGGTTTGCTTTTTGCGGGGATGTGTGGTGGTGACATCCTGTGTGGTTTTCGTGAGTGTGGGTCTGGTGTCATTCTTTGTGTTAGGGACTCATTTGTCAATGAGGGCGGGTTTCCAAATGGCTGGTAGGCGGGAGGTATCATCTCGTTTATTCATGCTGTGTGGGTGTTTTTCTATCTCGATGGCTTCTCTGATTATTCTGTTGTTAAAGTGTTCAATTTTGGCGATAGTTCTGGTCTTTTTAAAGTCAATATCATGTCCTGTGGCTTTAAGGTGTTGATCAGGGAAGAAGTTGGTTCCTCTTTTCTGACTGAGTTCTTGTGTTCTTCAATGCGTGCACTTATTCTTCTGTTGGTTTGTCCGATGTATATGGTGGGGCAGGTGGGGCATGGGATTTCATATACTCCTTGATTTTCTAACTCAATTTTGTCTTTGGGGTTTCTTAGGATGGTGGATATTTTTCGCTTTGTGCAGAATGCTGTCTTGATGTTGTGTTTGTGAAGGATCTTGCTGATTCTGTCTGTGGTGCCTTTTATGTATGGGAGGAGGGCTTTGCCATTTTCTTGTTCTCTGTCTTGGGTTTTAGTGGGGGTTTCTTTTTGGATTAGGTTGGTAATCTTATTTCTTTGGAATCCGTTGGATGTTAGTACGTTAGTGAGAGTGTGTAGTTCGGTTTTTAGGTGTTGTTCGTCAGCTAAGCATTTTGTTCTGGAGATGAGTGTCTTCTACGGGGGCTGGGGTGGGTGTGGCCATGGTGGGCATGGCCAGCTCGATGTCACTTGGATCAGGGGTGCCTGTGGTGGCCTGAGCACTCTGCCAGCAAAAACGGGCTCCCGAGCTCCATTTATGGCTGCAACGGCCTCTTGCAACCTTCTGCCAGCGAAAATGGAGTTCAGGAGGGCCATGTGTGGCCCTCCTGAGCTCCGTTTTCTCTGGCAGAGGCACCATGGGCCGGTCCCTCACTGTTTCCAGCATGGACCCATGGGCAATGGTGAAATTCAAATTTTTTCCCTACCAGTTCTGTGGGCGTGGTTTGGTGGTGGGGGTTTCCTGTGACTGAGTGGGCATGGCCAACTCTATGTCACTCATGGCCACGCCCACTCAGTCACAGGATTCCCCACCAAGCCACGCCCACAGAACCTGGGAGGAAAAAATGTGTGCATTTTTTACACCAGAAGGGCTCATAGTGATTGCTGTGGTAGAGAGAAGCCGAACTTTTCTCCCTCCATTCACAGCGGAGCTGCTGCTCCCTTTATGGTCCCACCCTGGCCCCCTCTCTCCCAGGGACTACCTTAAAAGGACTGGCTGCAGCAGCTCCGCTGTGAATGGAGGGAGAAAAGTTCAGATTCTTCCTGCTTCAGCATTTAATGTTGAATGGGTCGAGCGGCCGGAAGGGGTGAGTGGTGAGCAGGTGAGCGTGGGCAGGGCCAACCAGAAGTGGCTTTTACCGGTTTGGCAAACTGATTCAAATAGTCCCTACCGGTTTGCCTGAGCCGGTCCAAACTCATCAAATTTCACCTCTGCCCCTCGGCCAGATCTAAACACCTTGTGGGCTGGATCCAGGCCACAGGCCTTGAGTTTGACACCCTGCTCTAACTGGTAAGTTTATTTATTTATTTATTTATTTATTTATTTATTTATTTATTTATTTATTTATTTATTTATTTATATTTCTATACCGCCCTTCTTCTGCGGGACTCAGGGCGGTGTACAGAATAAAACATAGCATATAAAATTTAAAAACATTTTAAAAAACAATTAAATAATTTTGGCCCGAATTTAAAACAACCCAATTAAAACCGAATTCAATTAAAAAACTGAGAGGATGGGATCAAGCCAGCCCAGCTAAATGGAACAAATGTGTCTTCAGGGCCCAACGAAAAGTCTGGAGGTCTGATATCGTGCGTATCTCAGGGAGCAGGTCATTCCAGAGGGCAGGTGCTGCCACAGAGAAGGCTCTCCCCCTGGGGGTCACCAGCTGGCACTGCCTGGCTGACGGCACCCTGAGGAGGCCCTCTCTGTGCGAGCGAATCGGTCGGTGGGAGGCTATTGATGGCAGAAGGCGGTCTCGCAAATACCCCGGCCCTAAGCCATGGAGTGCTTTAAAGGTGGTCACCAACACCTTGAAGCGCACCTGGAAGACCACAGGAAGCCAGTGCAGCTCGCGCAGGAGAGGTGTTATATGTGAGCACCCTGTCGCTCCCATAATCCCCTGCGCGGCCACATTCTGGACCAACTTCAGCCTCCGGGTGCACCCCAAGGGGAGCCCCATGTAGAGAGTTATGACTGGAGCCGCATACAAACAAGCTAAACGAGTCAATAAATAACTGCAATCAGAAGTACCAATCTTGAGGCAGAAGGGAAAAACAACCAGGTATCCCTCTTCCTCTCAAGGCCAGTACATCACCTGTTTTTTGCTTCCAGTTGCAACAGGAAACCAATCAGTTGCAAAAAAAAATGCAAGTAAAGGTGAGGGGGAGATGTTCTTAGCTTCTTCATTTTAAGTAGATTATCAAGAAACACATTTTGAAAGCATATATAGTACATGTGTACCATTCACCCCGCAATTCCGTCGCTTATCTGTCCAGGAGTCCTGCTGTTTTGGCAGAGTCTTCTGGACATCATTTGTCTTGTAGATTAGATGTGGATGTGCCCCTTCTCTTGATTCATATTTCTTCACTGGTTCAATGAAGTAGTCTCCATCAGGCAAGTGGAAGTAACCAGTCTAAGAAGAAATTTTTGGATTTAATACATAATCATATAATAATAATAATAATTTTATTTCTATACCGCCCTTCTACCGAAGGACTCAGGGCGGTGTACAGCCAATTTAAAAAGCACAAGACACAACAATGATTAAAAATTAAAATAATTAAATAAATTTGGCTGGATTAAAACCCCAAAAATTTAAAATACCCCCATTAAAACTATTATGTTGATAGCCCGGCCTGGCGGAACAACAGGGTCTTCAATGCGCAACGAAACACCCGGAGGTCGGAGATCTTATGTATTTCCGGGGGCAGTTCATTCCACAGGGCTGGGGCTCCCACAGAGAAGGCTCTCCCCCTGGGTGTCGCCAGCTGACATAACTTGGCTGATGGCACCCTGAGGAGACCCTCTCTGTGGGAGCGGACTGGTTGGTGGGAGGCTATTGGTGGCAGAAGACAGTCTCGAAGGTACCCGGGTCCTATGCCATGGAGCGCTTTAAAGGTGGTAACCAACACCTTGAATCGCACCCGGAAGACCACTGGGAGCCAGTGCAGCTTGCACAGGAGGGGTGTCACATGGGCACAACGGGTTGCGCCCATAACCACCCGCACGGCCGCATTCTGGACCAGTTGGAGCCTCCGAGTGCTCTTCAAGGGGAGCCCCATGTAGAGAGCATTACAATAGTCCAGCCAGGAGGTGACAAGGGCATGAGTGACCATGCGCAAGGCGTCCCGGTCCAGAAAGGGCTGCAACTGGCGGATCAGGCAAACCTGATAAAAGGCCCCCCTGGCCACGGCCGTCATGTGCTCTTCTAAAGACAGCCGTGCATCCAGGAGGACACCCAGATTGCGAGTCCTCTCTGTGGGGGGCAAAGATTCACCCCCAATAGTCAGCAATGGCACCTGCTGACTATATCGGGACGCCGGCAGCCACAGCCACTCGGTCTTGGACGGGTTGAGTCTGAGCCTGTTCCTCCCCATCCAGACCCACATGGCCTCCAGGCAGCGAGACATCACATCAAGGGCATCATTGGGGTGGTCTGGGGTGGAGATGTACAGCTGAGTATCATCAGCGTACAGATGACACTTCACCCCAAAACCACGGATGATCTCACCCAGCGGCTTCACATAAATGTTGAACAGAAGGGGCGAGAGGACCGACCCTTGTGGCACTCCCTATGCGAGACGCCTCGAGGTCGACCTCTGCCCCCCTGCCAACACGAACTGCGAGCGGCCGGAGAGGAAGGAGGAGAACCACCGCAGAACGGTGCCCCCTATTCCTAACCCTCTCAACCGTTGCAGCATGATACCATGGTCAATGGTATCAAAGCCGCTGAGAGATCTAATAGGACTAGGACAGAGGAACAACCCCTGTCCCGAGCCCTCCAGAGATCATCCACCAACACGACCAATGCCGTTTCTGTGCTGTGCCCCTGCCTGAAGCCCGACGGGCACGGGTCTAGATAGATAGCTTCATCCAGGTGCCTGGGCAGTTGTCGTGCCACCACACTCTCGACAACCTTCGCCACAAAGCGAAGGTTGGAGACCGGACGGTAGTTAGCTAATTCAGCCGGGTCCAGGGAAGGCTTCTTGAGGAGGGGCCTCACCACCGCCTCTTTCAAGGCGGCAGGAAAGGCGCCCTCACTCAGAGAAGCAGTTATAATCCCCTGGAGCCAGCCTTGTGTAACCTCCCGGGAGGCCAGTACCAACCAGGAGGGACACGGGTCCAATAAACATGTGGCGGCACTAATCCTACCCAGAACCCTGTCCACATCCTCGGGAGCCACAGGATATGTCATATTTATGACATCCAAATAATATTTGGATGCAATAAAACAATCTGAAGTTGCACATATACACCCATACATATTCTCACACACACAAGCTCAAAACTGGGACCCATTTGATAGATGACGTTAGCTGTTTTGGAGGTTAGAGCAGAAGCTTTGATTCTGGAGCAAATGTATTTGAGCAGCAACTACATTGCTTGGAAGAATTATGCCAATCTGTTTCCAAACTGAAAGGCAGGTCTTACAAGCTTTGATCTGATTGTGAAGTCCAACACAACCGAGGATACTATTGCTTCACTGCCCTTGCCCTGCAAATTAATTAAAAAATAGTTGCTAAAGTTGGCTCATGTTTTCAAGAATGTCACATTGTCCCTAACACCTAGAAAACCCCAATGGATTAGATTAGCTCTACTCAATGGGACTGGTGGAACCCACCCTTTTGCTATGATATTCTCACATTATAATTGCATTTCATTAACAAAATCCTGGACTAATTATTGTTGGAAGAAATGTCCATCAGATTCAATTCCAAATGGGGAGAAAGACACTGGAAATATGGAGGCTGCTTTGAAAGATGGTTTTGTTGTGGAATAATTAGACCAACACAACTTTTCTAGGTTAGTCAGAGACAATGTATTGCGCAATAGGTTCAAAGCCCGTTTGTACATGAAGCTTTGAACAAACTTATGATCCTGAGAGCCCAGCTTTATACATTTTCAAACAAAGGATTCTGTGAATTCAGCAGTTTTATCATTGCAGACATTCATTACATCAAATGACGTTTTTCTAATTACTAAGTTTCATATTATTCTTGCCAAACAATCATAATTCTTCTTGTAAATCACCGAAGCATAGATTCAAATTATCTCTTGTTGATATTTCATGCGGTCATCTTTGGTTTCTTTAACCTTCAAACTGTATATCACCAAATGTCTCTATCTCTGACAACTGAGGGGCCCCTCTGATAGAATGTTTCTACTTCAAAGGAATTTATCTGCCTTTGTACTGGATATAGTTGCTTCTCTCAAACAAGCACATTTTCTTTCTTACAATACTATGAATAAAGAGGGCCCTTCAGTGATCATCCAGCTGGACCCGCATTACCTACATTAGTTTAATGGTGAAGCAGAACCACCAAGCACATATGATTCTGGGCAGCTGAACAAATGAAGTGGAGAGTGAGAGATATTTATACCCTCGCTTGGGCCTTGCCTTGAGCTTCCTGTTCCTGTGACAAGGGCATGTATTATATTGATTGCTGTAGGGGTCATGTGTAAATCCTAGGAGTTTGTCTGAGATAAGTTTGGTTGAACTGTGCTGGGTGATGTAATCTAGGGCCTTGGTTGTGCCATGTGGTGAGCTCTGCTGATAGATAATCCTATTCTATCCTGGAGGGTCATGTTTTAATCCCATCACTCTGGAGCTGAGGTCTTTTGTTTTGTATAGGCTGGGCCAGTCTTTCTTTCTTTCTTTTTTTAATTTTTATTTTCCATCTTTCCAATTTACATAACAATAAGCATTTTTAACAGTACTGTGTCATGTGTCTCTTACAGTTATCTACATTTATTTCTATACATTTTTGTTTCTCTGTTCTAACCACTTATAGTACTTATCCCAAACCTCATAAAATTCTTTATAATTTATAATTATAATAATAATTTGGCCCAGTCTTTCTTAATGGGTACCAAATACCTGCTGGGGACAGGAGCTGCTGGGAGCTGCTTTGTCTTTAAAAACATGTTTCTCCTTTTCTCATCCAGGAAAATATAATATTCTGCCTTTTTAATATTTCCCAATATATTTCATTCTTTTAAGAGGGGTGGGTGCTAACTTTCTTCAGTATTATATTGTTAACTCTTTAGCCCAATTAAAATCTGTTTCCCTATTTGTTTACAGTGTAGAGCTGTTCAGTAACATTTTCAGCATTTTCTCTGAAACTGCCCACATGTTGAGAAAACTTGAATGAATTTCATCTTTTAATGAAATTCACCTTTTTGATATTGGAAGCAATTCTAACAGAAAACAAAGAACCACTAGCAGATGGGAAAACAGTCCATTCTTGCTGAATTTTTTTTTTCCTTAAAAAGATTCTAACCGGGAGAACAGTTTCAGAAGAGCCAATTATTCTGAAGAAACTTCTCTTCAGTGGATGTGTGGCAAGAGAGATTAGAAAGTCGCATTTCAAGGATCCTTTAACTTGGCTTTCTACGCTAAGAGAGTCATAATTCTGATTTACCAGCACTGATAAAACTCCAGCTGTGTTCTGTTTATTTGAAAAAGAAAATGCTTCATTTGCACCGTGGTTAGTTTGATCTTTTAAACAGCTTGCAGCAGGCATTTAACCCATAACTTTCTCGTTAGCTTTACAATTTTGAGGCATAAAAACTTTGTGCATTTACCCACAACTGGAGTCCTTCACCTATTCCCAGGCTTGGATGAGTAATTACTTCCTCTCCTTTCAGTCTTCTATTTCAGGTCCATGCACAGGTAGTCCTCAACTTACGACTATAATTGAGCCCAACATTTCTATTGTTAAGTGAGAAATTTGTTATGTGAGCTTTGCCCCATTTTACGACCCTTCTTGCTACATTTGTTAAGTGAATCGCTTCAGCTGTTAAATGAGTAACACAGATGTTAAGTGAAACTGGTTTCCCCATTGACTTTGCCCATCAGAAGGTCTCAAAAGGTGATCATATGAACCCTGCAACCATCATAAATGTGAGACAGTTGACAAGCATCTGAATGTAAATCACGTCACCATGGGGATGTTGCAATGGTCATAAGTGTGAAAAATGGTCATAAGTCACTTTTTTCAATGCCGTTATAACTTTGAACGGTCACTAACGAACTGTTGTAAATCGAGGATTACCTGTATTCACATATAAAAACATCAAGGATTAATTTTTCAATTAGTCTGCTTACTGAAGCCATACTGATATTTCTTTTGACCCATTTTAAAGATTATTAACAAGTAAAAGGGTAAGTAAACTCTTTTAAATTAAGAACCCAGCACATCAAAACAATAAAAATGTACCACACAGCTATTTTTTTTTGCTTGTTGGTTCACCAACTTTGTACAATTTGTACAGACTCCCAGTTGCTAAAGGTGTCTGTTTATTGCTGCATACAATTCTCATAATGTACTCATTAGTTATGGTGCAGTCCTCTGGAATAGCCCGAAATGTCATAATTAAGAAGACATCTGCTCAGTGTAAACGATCTTCCTA